TGTGAGGACCAGTAAGGAGGAAGGACAGCATGTTCTATGGGGGCAGTTCTTTGGGGAGAGGAAGCTGCATTTCTCTGCCTTCCATTTCCTTTACAAGAGAGAGTGCCCAGCCTGTGTGGGCAGTTACTAACCAGTCCGTATGCAGCCCAGGGTTACCAGCCACCACTCTGGGACTTGAGAAAGGACCACCGCCACTCGGTCCCCATGCTGTAGGCCACAGGCCCCCGAGAGGACATTGGCTGCCTGTTGGCTGAGTTCACTCAGTTCTTGGAAGTTCCACTTCAGCTCTATCCCGGTGCCACTCACCCACCACAGGGCTGGGCGAGGAGGTCTCTTGCCAGCCTGACGAAAGAGAAGGCCTGGTGAGAAGACACCCATGGGGACACAGCAAAGAGAACAAATTGCAAGTCTAGGGGTAGGCTTGTTGATCCGAGGACATCCACACACTATTGCAAAATGTTGAAAACCTTCAAAACTTTGATTTAAGGGAGGGTTAGGTCTAGCAACACTATATTAAAACAGATACTTTTAATCTGCGTGCTTTAAAAATAAAAATTATAACCCAATCTATATTACTGTGAAGATAATTTTGATTGCTAGCTGGATTGGCTTAAGGAGGCCTAAGAAATGAGCAGAGTGCACCTTTGAGGTGTGCCTGATGTGAGCCACAGGGATTATACAGTCAGAGCACACAGACATAGACAGACCCACAGGGTTATGAGCTGGTGGAGAACTCGATTTGCAAAGCATCGAGACCACTCGTCTTTTGCATAGTCACTATCAGTTCTGTAGGAATCTGGTGAAATCATGACATTTCTCCTTTCTATAATGGGATTCATCCCAAAATATCCCAACAGTGTATAAATCATTCTTTTAAACCTGAATTCTCCTGTACTGGCAACTGTATAACTTTCTCCACACCACAGGGCCCTGGTATAAAAGCATTTACTCAGTCAAACCTTTTTTCCCATAGTCAAATCCACATAAAGCCAGTCCCCCACAATTATCCTTATTGACAGGACTATTTGACAGGAAAGGAGCCCTGAGCAGGAGGCACTGAGCAGAGGGACAGTGTGTCTAATCTAACTGATAAACAGGTCCGGGTGGCCCTAAATTCTCTAACACTCAACTCAGGAGAGTATAACCTACTGTCCTTTGCTCCACCCTAACAAGCTATTAATAGTCTGTGCTTACCTTCATCTTTAATTTGACACAAGGTCTTAGTCTAGGAAATTAACTCTTTGTACCTTCACCCCTAAGATATACAGTAAAAAACCTTGGGCCATTAAAACAGCCCCAGAGAAAGAAATTCCTTCTCACCTGGGTGCCAGTGGATACAGCACCAGGATGCTTAGCTTGGGGGCATAAGCTCCATTTTAATCCTCTCACAGCCAGGCCCCTTCTGAGACATAAGGTGTCTGCCTTGTCAGTCTTTTATCCATCCTGGTAGCATGGTATGCATGCTTGATATCACTGCTATTTTCCAGAAAGTTGTTAACTGTCTGTGTGGGTTTATAAACTGGGAACCTTGTGGGATAGGGAGAACAATGAAGAATGTCGAGGAGGCTCATCAAAAGGGGAACATCAAGAGAACATTAGAGAGAGCATACAAAGAAGTAATGGTACATGATGAAATGGTTTATGTGGCCTAATTTATTTCACTTACTCTCAGACCTTATTAGTTTCATTCTTGCCTGCTATAGCAATCCTGAATCCTGAGAGGTTTCGTGGGGCTTGACCCCAATATAACCCTCGATGTCCTGGGCATTTCCAGAGATGATCGGATGGTGTGGGCTCTGATCTAATCAATGGATTAATGGCTTGATGGATTCATGATGCGGCATTGTAGATCATGAAAAGCAAGAAGAGGGTCCTGGGTAGAGGAAGTGATTTGGGAGGCATCCTTGCAGGTGGCTCTTCCCTCCAACCCTTCTCGAATTCTTGTCCTCGGATTCAGTATTTCCCCCTTGATTATTATTAGTTTCCAGTTTTCTGGTTTATGTAACTCTTTCATGGATTTCAACTTGAAAACTGTAGTAGAAAGACCTTTCCTCAGTAGTCCTAGGAAAAATAACTTAAAAAAATCAAAAAGCTAGTTGAGGGGACCACTCACTCAGGACAGTGCTGGCCATGGACACTCTAGGACCTGAGTTCCACCCCCAGAACACACGTTAACCAGAACCAGTCCTGGTGACACACACATGCTTGCCATTCATGCCCCCAAGTAGTCAGGCAGGTGCCTGAGGCTTGCTGTCCAGTCAGTCTAAAGTTCTTGATGAGCTCCCGGTCAGTGAAAGACCTTGTCTCAAAAACCAGAGTGGTGGGGCTGAGGAAGGGCAACTGAGGTTGACCTCTGGCCTCCATGTGCATCAGCACATATCAACATGTACACACACGTACTTTAGTCCATGCAAGCATACCTACAGGCATAGAAAAAGATACTGTTTGTGTTGTTAACATCACCCTTGTCACACAGTTCCTTCCTTTGGGTTGAAACACGCTCTTGTGGATGGAAAGGTGAGACTCAGGGACTTGGGAAACTAACAAAACAGTGAAGTCCAAATCTGCAAGATGTGCAAGGCATGTGAATCTTCTACAGGTCAGTCCAGGTTGTTACATGTGTGGTGAACGGCTGCTGGTGCTGCAGTTGCCTGCCAGTTGCTCCAGGAGCATCACCGATACACGGAGAAGCTGAGGGCTTCTCAGAGGCACACACATCCTTGAGTTACTCATGCTCCAGTAACTCCTCACCCACACCCCATAATTAACTGTTTCAGGCTCATTGCTTCATCAGTCTTGACCTGGATCATATCAGCCCTTCCGTCTGTCGTTATACTGTTTGTCTGGCAGGGCAGCAATAGTCTTCCAGGAAGAGCCACACAACAACTTCCCACCTTGTTCCGTCTTTAGCATAGAGAGTGATGAAATCTCCAGGTGAAGGTCTTGTCACGGGGCCAGGGCCTCAGAACAGCACTGTCACAGCTGCCTCTGGGTGGTCCTGTTTGATACCCCTGCTGGTTAACTCTAGCCTTTCTCCTTCCTTAGCCCATGTGAGCTGATCCATCCTCTAGAAATGTATTTGAGGTAAAGGTAGGTGGTGGGCAGGTAGCAAATGAAACTCATAGATGGACAAGGAACTTGGAAGTGTCTGCCTCCTCTCCCTCTCCATCTCTTCTGCTGAAGCCCTTTATTCCCTGCTGGGTGGGCATCTCACTTGCACACTTGGGCACCAGAGACATGTGACTTAGCTTTCTTAGAAGACTGGCTCAATCTGGAGTTGTTGCTGATTTCCTACTATAATCCATGCTAATCAGACTGGCCATCACTGTGATAAACACCTTGGTATTTCTCTTAGCTCCAGGGTTCAGAGGCTTTGATCATTATTGCTTAGACCCATTACCCTGAGCACATGGCAAGGCAGGGCATCATGACAGGGAGACGGAGACAGGGTCTACTCACTTTGTAATGAGAAGCAGAGACCACAGACTAAGCAAACATTCTCGAGTTATGTTCCCAGTGACCGAATTCACCTAGCCCCACCATTTAAAGCCATCACCTCCCAAACCATTGTTTCCAGCTGGAGACCAAGTGTTTAACTGAGCCTACTAGGGCACTATATGCTCAGTCCATGACAAGCTCACCCATCCTATCTGTGCCCTAGCCCACTGCTCTTTATTTCATGCTAGGAAGAAGTCACACTGGAGAGTGTGTTTGGGATTACTAGGTTCTTCACCATGACCCATGTGCCTTAGGCCTTCTTTTAAAAAAATATTTGGAGTAGCATGTATTAGTTATACATGATCATAAGTTTTATTACAACATTTTCATACATGTGCACAATGCATTTCAATCGTATTCATCCACCTACCATCCTCTTCTGTCACCTTCTCACCCTTTCCCATGCTTCTCGATCGCCTTCTTTCTCCCAACTGGAGGTGGGTATGATATATGTGTGTGTGTGTGTGTGCCTGTGGTTCCCAGGAACTTTTATTAGTGTTACTTCTAGCTTTGTTTATGGAAACATGGACACATTTCTAGTGTCTACACTGCTGAACAAAATGTCTCTCTATCCCTCTTTAACCTTTAACTGCATATAAATCCTCTGGGAGGGGTGGGGCCATCTGAGCTCCTCCCTATTCCATGAAACCTAATACAGGTAATTATTAGTCACTGTGAGTTCAAGAGTAACAGCCATCTAGTGCCCAGAGATCACATTCCACATCCACACCTCCTACGTTCCTTCTGTCCCTTCTCCCATACTACTTCCTGAACCTCCGAGAAGGTGATAGAAATGTCCTATTGATGGAGCATCCAATAATCACTGCTTCTCAGCCCACTGGCCAGCTGTAGGTCTCTGCAGCCACACTGACAACTGCACACAAAGCTTCTCTGGCAGAACCCCAGAACTCTCCTGCCTTTCTTCCTCCCAAGTTGCCTTACACTGCTTCAAAGAAGAATAACATCCTGTTTACATCCTGTCTGAGACGTGATAAGCATCCTGCCAATCCCACCTGAATGAACTGATAAGTGAATGAAGTCGACCCAGCTGTGCCATTCTTGCTCCCATTACCTTCTCCATGTTGGCCCAGTGGTCTATCACGTCACTAGCGAAGTTGAACTTGGCAGGTACTTCTTCCTGGTTGCCCCACGGTATGGGTGTTAGTTTCTTGCTATTAATTTGGAATGTACGAATGGACATCTGAGTACCCCAAAGGGTACAATATCTTGGAATTTTCCACAGCCAATGCATGGTTGGAGCTGCGAAGGAAGGAGATGTAGATGAACTCCTCCCTACTAGACTGTGAGACTCACCGTCAGCTAGTGAAGAGGGCTGTTTCCACCCTCCAGGGTTGTTTGGTTGTATTTGTGAGTGGGTTGAACTGACACTGAGTGCCTGGTTCAGACTCCTCTGTGTACCACTCTCCTACGGCACCGCCCTCTAGTTCCGGCCGCAGTGGATGTCCAATCCCAGGTAACATACTATTTTAGCTTAAAGTATGAGTGCTGAACCATTTTGTGGCTGCTTGTAGTTAGGTTACGTCACCCCACTCTCTACCAGTGCAGTGTGGAGGGAGAGTCTATAGTCTCCTCATATTGACTTTGGCTTGGTAGTGAGATACGCTCTGGTTAATAGGATGAGTGTGGGTTGGTCAGATTTGCATTTACATCCCCACTCGTGTGTGTGTGTGTGTGCACTGTATGCATGTGCATTTACAGGTGTGCACATGAGCATGCCCGTGAATGCGTGCAGAGGCCAGAGGAAGACACCGAGTAACCTTCTCTATGTCCCCCCACGTGACAGGGTATCTAATTGCATCTAGAACCTGCCATTTCCCAGGTAGGCTTGCTGACCAGAATGTTCCAGTGATCCTTTTGCCTCTGATCCCTGAGCACTGGGCTCACACAGACCCAGTTTTTTACAAGCCTGCTCGGCTTCTGAATGTGGATTCTCATGCTACCGCTGTGAGTGCTCTTACCCTCTGTGCCATCTCCCTAGTTCCGTTTCTGGGACTTCCCATGAGAACTAGAGATCTCAGATGAGCACTACCCTTCTTCCTGGGTCCTAGAGTGGTGCCCTAAGGAACTCACCTAAGCCCAACCTGGCCACTTCCAAACTTCCATTATTCTTCAGCTAAGTTTGGTAGGCACATCCTAGGTCTATGTTTAGAAGGAAACATGTATATATTTGAGCGCGGTGGAATGCTCAGAATGCTTGCCAGTACACCAACTGTTGACTAATACATTAACGCTGGAGTTAGTTTTGATTGACGTGCCTGAAAATGTACACTGCAGGATCTAACATAAACAGAAGCTTGCAGGATTATAGCTGCTGTTATTATTGTTTTCGACTATATTAGCTCCAGGGAAAGATGTTCTGAGTCTATATACACTGGTCTTTGAAGTCTGTCCTGTGCTCTTGCATGAGATTGCAGAATTTTAAACCTGATGACCTTTGACTCAGAGAATCCAGCCAATCTATCCCCTTGGCTGGATTCCCAGCCCCCTTGGTCTAGGCAGAGGCCTTGAGAATGCTCGTTTGTGGCACTTCCATGTTCTCTCCTGCATTCTCAAAGACGAGGTGAGAGTTTCCTTTCCAGGCATGGCCAGCCATATCTAGTGCTTTCCTGGTCGCTGGTATCTCCCTTTCGATGGCTGACTCCTTATTTTCTGGCCTCACTTCTTCAAATAAGCATGTACTCCTTCACCCCAGATACCTCTTAGTTTCTGCCTATGCTTCTGCCCAGCTGTCTAGCTCTCTGCTTTTGGTTCCCCTTTCCTCTATCCAATGTTGTACCCCTATGAAGACCCCGTGACATTCCCTTTGTGGCTCCTAGGAGTTTTAAGATCTTGTCTTCCATGGGGGAGTTTTCACCCTCCCTGACAACTGTTACTCCTCATGACTGGTGAGAGTCACCATAGCGCATGTGCCCCCCACCTTCTGTCTCTTGCAGGAACACTTACTTGCCAAGCTGCTTCTGGAACTCTGTCTGGAGGTAGCTTGGTCTACTTCCCTCTTGGGAAGTGGTTCCAGAGCTCCTGCAGCCCTGGAGGAGAGAATAGCACTGAAGCAGATGGTTCGCGGATCAGATCCTCCGAGGGCTCAGCTAATCATTAATGGCGCATAACTGTGGGGTGCTGCTACTCCTCCCAGTAAAGTTTGTGTGTAGTGCAGCTTTTGAGTCTGTGGAGGGTGACTCTTTAACCCAAGGGATCAAAATGAGGTTTATTCTCACGATTGACAGCAAGCATTCTCTCACTGGGAAGAGTGGGGAATTCCAGAGACACTGTCTAGCTGCCTTTAACCTTCTCACTTGTTTGCCTTCCACCAAGGGTCTCTTTCCCTGCTCTGCCCGTTCATTCAGTGTCACAGCTTGGATGCAGGCCTCTTGTTAATGACTTACAAGTGTGTCTCTGGGCTGGATCTCTCTCCTGGGTGTTCATCTGTTTGATGGCTCTACTTGGTTTAAAAAACTGTCTAACAGGTTTTTAAGAGTAAATGCAGATAGTTCCAGGCATTCTAGCCCTGCAGCATCCACTGTACCGGCGGCCTTTACAAAAGGATGGTCACCCTGTTGCTCCCACTCTCTCGGCATGATACCCCAGGTATCTAACAGCTCTGCCTCCCAGCTGTGACTGCAATCTGCCTCACTCTCTTCAGTGTTCCAAACCACCATTTCCTATCTGTTTTAGGGTTACCAGCACTGTGATGAAACACTGTGACCAAACGCAAGTTGGGGAGGAAAGGGTTTATTTGACTTACACTTCCACATTGTCATCCAACATTGAAGAAAGCAGCACAGGAACTCAAACAAGGCCGGAACCAGGAAGTAGGAACTGATGCAGAGATCATGGAGGAGTGCTGGTTAGTGGCTTGCTCAATCTGCTTTCTTGTAGACCCCAGAACCAGCAGCCCACGGATGGTACCACCCACAGTGGGCTGGATTCTCCTCTGTTAATCACTCATTAAGAAATTGCCCCACAGCTGGATTTTATGGAGGGATTTTCTCAACTGACCGTCCATCTTTTCAGTTTACTCTAGTTTGTGTCAAGTTGACGTAAAACTAGTCAGCATACTGTCCAGAGGAGCATTTTTGTGTTTTCTTTTCCTTTCTTCTTGCCTCTGCCCTTGACTCTCAAAGTCTGTTCCCAGAATGAGCCTGACTTAAGTCAGTCAGACCGTGGAGCCTTCTGAGTAAAATACCAGGTCCTTGCTTGTCCTTATCTACAAGGTCATGACCTCAAAGACTTCCCAGGATTCTTCCTCCCGCTTCCCCAGTCCAGTCAATGGGCCTCTTTGTCTTCCTGTCCCCACCAGACACACTCCCGCCTCAAGCCTTTGTGAATATTATTCTCTCTGCTAAAATCCTCCTCCCTAACATTCAGATGACCAGCTGACATCACATCTTTTCTGAAAGTCATCTGTGCTTGATAGTTTTTTGTCAACCTGACAAAGCTAGATTCATCTGGGAAGAGGGGACCTCGACTGAAAAAAACACATCCATCAGACTGGTCTATAGGCAAGTCTGTGCAGCATTGCGTTATGCATAATTATATAAACATTCTTGATTAATGGTTAATTTGGGAGGACCCAACACACTGATGCGGTATTACCACAGGGTGGGTGACCCTGAGTTGTATACATTATTTATAACATATTACATATATAAACATAAATTATGTATAAATATATAAATAAACACCATATAACTACACACACACACACACACACACAATTTCACAATTTCCTGAGCAGGACATGGGACTGAGCCAGTCAGCAGCTTCCTTCTATGGCCTCTGCTTCAGTTACTACCTCCAGGTTCTTTCTGTGAGTCCCTGCCCTGACTTTCCTGCAACTGTAAGTTGTAAGATGAAATGAACCAAAGTATTTTCTTAAATATTTACTTTTGTTTGTTGTTGCTGTTGTTTTTTATGTGTGTGTGATGTGTCTGTGTGCAGGTTTCCAGGAAGCCCAGAAGGGAATGGCAGATCCCTGGAGCTGGAGTTACAGGTGGTTGTGAGACTGATATGGATACTAGGAACTGACCTCAGGTCCTCTGAAAGAGAGCAGTACATGCTCTTAAACACTGAGCCATCTCTCCAGCTCCTTAGGGCATCAGCTTCATGTGTCCTTTCTGCCTACTTGACCTAACATCACAGACTCCATCTTCTCTGCCATATTTCTTTCTTCTTCCTGGCCATATAGATCTCATTATTTATCTTTTCTTACTGTTTGTTTTTCTTTTTAGCTTTTACACACATGCTCTTGAGGGAAGAGATTTTTATGTTCCATAATTCTTGTTTCCCAAAGCTCCAAAGCAGTTAAAGGTCCCTATCCATGGACACAGTAGTATGTCAAATTAATTGTCTTTCATCCTCAAAATAACCCTGTGAAACAGGGGATTACTTTCCCAAAGTTTCATGTGTATATGTATGTACACACACACCTTAACATCCTTATGTCCTTTTGACAGTTTATACATACAGAAACCATGTTGTGACCATACTCACCCTGCCCTCTCTGTACACCGACACCTGCTGACTGCTCATATTCACCCTGCCCTCTCTGTGGCCCCCACACCTGTTGACTGGCTTCTTATTCCCTACAGGTTGACTCCTTTTGGATCTTGATTTTGATCTTTTCTGTTTAATTAGGGTTTCTTGTATCAGCATGGATAGGGCATTATATACTGGAGCAGGAGCACTCACCAACGTCTACACTGCTGAAGAAAATGACACCTACTTAGGATTGGTGTCAGGCAGTCCATAGAGGTCACACTGTCTGCGAGGCAGAGGCAAATAAGATTTCAATAGGGGGTGAGAATTATCAAATAGGGGAGGGAGGGGCTGGAGAACTCAGAGAGATGGCCACATAGTTTTAGCTCTGTCTTTCATATGCCTTGGGGGATGAAGGTTGATGTCTTCAAAACTCACCTTCTTATTTATCCACAGGAAATAAAAGGAACCCCTGCTTATCACCCCCTTTCCTCTCCAGAGCCCTGGCAATTTTCAGTTGTCTGAAGTTCGTTCTTGTGACATCCTGTTTCCAGGGACCATGAGACTTTCAGAGTGACCAAAAGCCCCTGGGCATGCTTTCTAGCCTTTGATGAGCACTGACCATTCAAGCCTCAGCTTCCCCATCTGTTCATAAAACAACAGTGACATCTCCAAGTCCGTGTGAAGATGTGTTGGACTGATTCTTACAGAGTATGGTAAAGAAAATAGCCGGCATCTCTGTCACTGTTGTCTGACTCCCTCATAAGGTCAGAAACACAAAGGTGGGGCAGGGGAGAGGGCTCGGCGTATAGAAGTACTTGCCATTCATGCCTAAAGCGTGGTGGCATGCATGTGCAATCCCAGCACTCCTAAGACATTGTGAGGCAGAGACAAGGGAACTCTCCGGAAGCCTGCAGGACCAGCTAACCTGGAGTATGCTTCACAGCAGCAGAAACAAGGGAGGCCCTGCTCAACAAGGTGTTAGGAACCAATGCCCGCAAGCATCCTCTGACCTCCAAACCCATCCTGTGATATGTGGTACAATACAGCCCTAAAGGGTGTCTATCTTCCTTCTTCCAGACTTCCATAATAGATAGTCCTGATTGCCTTGGAATCAGGCAGCCATGAGTTTTTCTGTGCGCTTCTGGAAAGTCCTCTATATTGACTTTGAGCCCATTTTGCTGTTACTTCCCCGGGGACGGCTCACTGTCGGCCCACAGAATGTGGAGTCAGCTAGACTGTTCTCTGTCTTTTTCATCCAGTGCTTTTAACCCGTATCTAGACAGAGGGGTAACCCTAGCACAGCTCTAAAAATGAGGATATTGATGCCAATGGCACATGTGATGTTGAGAATAACACTTATGTGGTACATTTCAAGATTGCCGGGCCTGCACTCAGGGATAGCATATGTAGCTAGGGTTTGTAATACCTTGGGTTACATCATTGGCATAACAAAACCAAGCAAGCAAACAACCCAAAATAGCCAAAGTCAGTTGCTTCTGGGAAGGTGAGATATTTGAATTTTGATTGAAGTTAAAATATTTCTTATTTTAAATTTAATTATTCAAGTTCAAGTTATTTACTTATCTAAATCATAAATAAACAATAAAAATGTAGTAACTACCATAAACATCTGATAAATTGAAGTCAGCACAGTTTGGAATAGGAGATTTGGAAGGGACATCTTGAATCAAATCTAAACTCCTGTATAGGTGAAGGCTCTGGGGATCATGCCTGATGAGCTCATGCATGGGCAAGATTGGAGGGGGCACAGTCCAGGGAATAGCAGACAAAATCACATACATTCAAACACCCCCCAAAATTTATTTGTTCTCCTAGAAAATGGGGCAAATGGGCTTACAGAGGCATTTACTGTGATGCTTCCAGGTAGATAAGCCATGGGACCCTGTCCTCACAGGGCTATTTGTCTCTGTCAATTTGTCAGTAACTATTTATGAAAAAGACACAGACATAACCAAAACATATCTCTTCCTATTTGAAGGAAGAACAGATAATAATGTATAAAATAATTTACCTAATTTTAGATACTGCTAAGCACCAGTCAGAAGTCAGATCACGTCATATTTTCATTGAGAACCAAACAGTGAATCTTAGTATAAAATAGACATTTGAGTTTTGCCATCATCATAAAAGGACCATGTTATGGAATATTAGTTTAAAATATGTTACATTTGTCTATGCTGTAGAATATTTGTTTAATATTCTTTAATTCTTTAATGTTGCATTCTTTAATGTTGCATTTTTTTAACTCTGTGAAACTGTGTTATTTTGCCTGCCTAAAACACCTGATTGGTCTAATAAAGAGCTGAATGGTCAATAGCTAGGCAGGAGAGGGAGGAGTAGGTGAGGCTGTCAGGCAGAGAGAATAAATAGAAGGAGAGAAAGAAAAGGGGGGCAAGTAAAGGAGGAGAGAGGATGCCAGGGGCCAGCCACCCAGCCACACAACCAGCCATGGAGTAAGAAGGAAAGAAAGGTATACAGAATAGAAAAATGTTAAAGCCCAGAGGCAAAAGATAGATGGGATAATTTAAGAAAATCTGGCTAGAAATAAAACAAGCTAAGGTCAGGCATTCATAAGAAAGGATAAGTCTCCGTGTATTCATTTCAGAGCTGGTTGGTGGGCCCCCAAAGAGCAAAAGTTAAAAAAAAACAGCTACAGGACTGCCACTCAACTCAGTGCTGGCTTCCCACCTTTTCACACCCCTTCTAAAGCTCTCTCAACCTCAGTAGGGCTGCTTCCTGCCTGCTCCTTGAAGGCACGCCCGGCCCAGCCTTTGTACAAATCTCTCTTGTCAGATTGCTTTTCTCCAGATTTCTACTTGAATATCCCCCACTAATCTTTCAAATCTTTGGCAGATTTTTTTTTCACTATCTCAGTCGTCTCAGTAAAGCTTACCTTAAACACCTACCTACTTAAAACCGCAAGCTGCCTCCAGACTGGTTCTCCTTCCCTCCTTTACTCTATTACCAGACTCTTTGCTCCTTAATCATAGTTGCTTTTAACTTTATAGAAAAAAATTCAAACATTTTTGCTTCTGTCTCTGTTCTCTAGGACTTACGCTTTGTTAAGACATAGATGCTTGTCTGTCTTGTTTATTGAGTTAGCTAAAGAGCTTAGGATAGACTCTATCTCAGAGAATTGAGTGAATACCTGGTTATATAAGTTAGCACCATGAGGAAAATAAAACATTTTGATATTATAATGAACACGACTGCCTGAAGTGTGCAGCTGCATAAATGACGGCTTCTGCTATGTATGAATGTGCCTGTGTATGTCTGTGTGCACAACTGTTACGAATGTCGGAACGTCTGGTTCTATGTATGAGTGCACATAGCTGTGTATGTGTGATAGCACATGTGAATTTGTGTGTATGTGTGCATGAGAGAGAGAGAAAGAGAGAGAGAGCGAGAGAGAGAGAGAGAGAGAGAGCGAGAGAGAGAGAGAGAGAGAGAGAGAGANGAGAGAGAGAGAGAGAGAGCGAGAGAGAGAGAGAGAGAGAGAGAGAGAGAATTTGATTTGGGATCAGCTAGGAAACACTCCTCTGGGAAAGTGGGAAAGTCTGTCAAGTTGATTGATTCCAGAGATATTTAGATTCTCTTCCATTTGGATGACACCACACTGTGATCCAGGACATCAATAAAAGAGGAAGCAGCATGAACACCAGATTTCATCTGCCTCTGCTCCCTGACTGCACACAATGTGACCAGATGCAACATGCCCCTGACTACATACAATGTGACCAGCTGTAGCATGCACCCTGACTGCATACAATGTGACCAGCTGCAACATGCCCCTGACTGCATACAATGAGACCAGATGTAACATGCTCCCTGACTGCATATAATGTGACCAGATGCAACATGCTCCTGACTGCATACAATGTGACCAGCTGTAGCATGCACCCTGACTACATACAATGTGACCAGCTATAACATGCCCCTGACTATATACAACATGCTCAGCTGCCACATGCTTTCCCCACCACGAAGAACTGTGCTCCTCAAGCCACTGGCAAGCTTGAATTATTCCTTCTTTTTTTTTTAAGTTTTCTTTAATTCTTTTTAATTTATTTTGCTCCATACTTTTTTTTAAATATAATTTTTTATTGAAAAAAAAAGATTTCCGCCTCCTCCCCGCCTCCCATTTCCCTCCCCGTCTCCCTTTTCCCCCCTCCTCCCTCTCCTCTCCCCCTCCCCCCACTCCTCTCCCCCTCCCTCTCCAGTCTGAGGGGCAGTCAGGGTTCCCTGCCCTGTGGAAAGTCCAAAGTCCTCCCTGCTCCATCCTGGTCTAGGAAGGTGGACATCCAAACTGGCTAGGCTCCCCCAAAGCCAGAACATGAAGTAGGATCAAAACCCAGTGGTCCCAAAGAAAAACATATAGCTATCCTCCTGATTATGGGAAGTAGACAAGATTGCCGGGCAAAAAATGGGATCTTGGGGGAGGGGGGGAGGGAGGTAAGGGGAGATGGGGAGAGAAAAGTGAGAAGGGGAGGTTGGGGGGAACTTGGGAAACGGGATGTTTGGGATAAAGGAAGGTTGGATAGGGGAGCAGGGAAGCACACATCTTAATTAAGGGAGCCATCTTAGGGTTGGCAAGAGATTTGGTGCTCCCAGGTGCCCAGGGCGATGTCCCCAGTTAGTTCCTGGGGCAGCTGAGGACAGAGAACCTGAAATGACCCTATCCTATAGCCATACTGATGAATATCTTGCATATCACCATAGAACCTTCATCTGGAGATGGATGGAGATAGAGACAGAGACCCACACTGGAGCACCGGACTGAGCTCCCAATGTCCCAAGGAGGAGCAGAAGGAGGGAAAATATGAGCAAAGAAGTCAGGACCACGAGGGGTGCACCCACCCACGGAGACAGTGGGGCTGATCTATTGTGAGCTCACCAAGGCCAGCTGGACTGCGACTGAAAAAGCATGGGATAAAACCGGACTCTCTGAATATGGCGGACAATGAGGGCTGCTGAGAAGCCAAGGACAATGCCACTGGGTTTTGATCCTACTTCATGTTCTGAATTATTCCTTCTTAAGCTGAGTTTTCTCTTTTTTCATTTTCTCTTTTTCTTTCTCAAGTTGCTTTGCTCTCAGGGCACCGGGACTGGGTTAGACTGTGGATATGGGCGTGATGAGCTCGCAAGGCAATGTTAGACACATGGCCGCATGTTCATCGTTATTTTAACGTGTATTAAAAGAAAGATGGCATTTGTCCTTTCAGGAGTATTATATCAATTGACATGAAGTCAGCTGAGGAATTGCACAGATGGTATAAAGTTAGACCTATAATCATAACCATGCAGTGCAAAGTCAGGAAAAGCTGGAAGAAGCCTAGGTAAATGATGCTGGACCTAGAGTACGTTCTTGGGGACGGGGTAGAAATGGTCATCACTGCGGGGGACTACTAGGTCTGGTGGGGAAGAGTGACCACATGAGCGGTGGAATCTGGTTCCTAAAGACCACACGGTGACTGGGAATTTTGTCCTTTTCCTTTGGGAGCTGAGTTGGGCTGAGGTCACTTGAGAGGAAGCTGGTTGAGGAGTGGGAGTCAGCAGGGAGCTCCATACCAGGAAGAATGTGAAAACACTGGGATGAATAAACAATGGCTTCTGCTTTTGAACAATTCAAAAAAAAAAAATAAACACGAAAACACCAGGAAAACAAACAAACAAAACCATTAAAAATGGGCCATGAAACCAGAGATCTCCAAGGATGAACTATAGTGGCTGAGAAATATTTTAAGAAGTGTTCAACATCCATAGCCACCAGGAAAATGCAAACTAAAACTGCTTTGAGATTTCATCTTACCCCAGTCAGAATAACTGACATTAAAAAAAAAAATGGAGACAAATGCTAGCGTGTATGTGGGGGAGGGGAGGGGAAGACTTCTTTACTGCTGACGGGAGTGCAAACTGGTCCAACCACTACTGACAGCAGTGTGGGGGTTCCTCAGAAAGTTAGAAATGGGCTTACCACATGATCCAGTCACACTACTAGAAACAGAACTTATATATATGGGATACAGTGGAATGACTTACAGGTTGTGGCTCGTTGAATCCCACAATGGCTGCCTATGAGTGAAGATCCAAGGATCCAGTAGTTGTTCAGTCCTGGAGGCTGGACATCTCAGCTGGTCTTCGGTGTTCACTGGGATCCTGAAGAAGCAGGCTCTAAAGCCAGTGGAGGAATGGACTTGAGAGGATGAGAACGAGCAGGCAAAGACTGAGCAAACTCCCTTCTTCTATGCTCTTTATACAGACTATCAGCACCGTGGTCTCGATGAAAGATGAGTCTTCCCACGTCAAAGATCTGGATTAGACGTTGGTCTTCCCATCTCAAAGATCCAGATTAGAGGTGCGTTCTTCCACTTTAAATGTTTAAGGAAAAAAAATCCCTCAGGGGTGTGTCCAGTCATTTAAGTTTTTGTTAATTAATTAGTAAAGTTGACAAGCAAGAATAGCCATCACAAATCCACCCCTGTCAACATGACACAATCGTATCTCCATATGTCAGGCTGCCTTTGTTGGGATTACTGTTGCTGTGATGAAACACCATGATCAAAGTAAGGCAGTTCTGCAAGATAAGGGTTTATTTGGCTTACACTTCCATATCACTGTTCATCATCAAAGAAAACCAGGACAGGGTCCAAACAGGTCAGGAATCTGGGAGCAGAAGCCGATGTGGAGGTCATGGAGGGGTGCTGCTTAGCGGCTTGCTCAATGTGGCTTGCTCAGTCTGTTTTCTTATAGAATTCAGGACCACCAGCTCAAGGGTGGCACCACCCGCAATGAGCTGAGGCTTCCCCTATCAATCACTAATTAAGAAAATGACCTACAGCACTAACTTATGGAGGCATTTTCTCAACTGAGGTTCCCTCCTTTTAGATAATTTTAGCTTGTATCAAGTTGACGTAAAACTGGTCAGCACAGATACTTAATTTCCAAACGAAAATAACAATCAGTTCTTAATTACACCCAAACATAATATAACCATTCCATATACAATCACAAATGCATTGTATATTTCACCAGGTCATAAGCATTCCAAACTGTCCTTTGTACAAGCACAACCACATTATAAATTTAGAATAGGTGTCAATGTCTCTTGAGAGAGGTTCTTTAAGTATCTCAAACTTAAATATGATGACCAATTGATATTCTCACAATTGATGTTACATCACATGATAAAGAAATTGAGGAAAGAAAACATAAATATCTGCACAAATGCATTCTTTTTAATTGATTTTTATTGAACTCACATTTTTCTCTGCTCCCCTCCCTACCTCTCCCCCACATCTCTCCCCCCTTAAACCCTCCCCCAAGGCTCCCACACTCCCAATTTACTCAGGAGATCTTGTCTTTTTCTACTTCCCATGTAGATTAGATCTATGTAAGTCTCTCTTAGTGTCCACATTGTTGTATAGGTTCTCTGGGATTGTGGTTTATAGGCTGGTTTTCTTTGTTTTATGTTTAAAAACCACCTATGAGTGAGTACAAGTGATAATTGTCTTTCTGTGTCTGGGTTACCTCACTCAAAATAATGTTTTCTAACTCCATCCATTTTCCTGCAAAATTCAAGATGTCGTTATTTTTTTTTCTGCTGTGTAGTACTCCATTGTGTAAATGTACCACATTTTCCTTATCCATTCTTAGGTCAAGGGGCATTTAGGTTGTTTCCAGGTTCTGACTATGACAAAGCCGCTATGAACATAGCTGAGCAAAAGTCCTTGTGGCACGATTGAGCATCTTTTGGATATATACCCAAAAGTGGTATTACTGGGTCTTGAGGAAGGTTGTTTGCTAATTTTCTGAGAAATAGCCACACTGACATCTAAAGGGGCTATACCAATTTGCATTCCCACGACCAATGCAGGAGTGTTTCCTTTTCCCCACAACCTCTCCAGCATAAGTTGTCACCAGTGTTTTTGATCTTGGCCATTCTTATAGGTGTAAGATGGAATCTCAGAGTTGTTTTGATTTGCATTTCTCTGATGACTAAGGATGTTGAACATTTCCTTAAGTGTGTTTCAGCCATTTTAGATTTCTCCCTTGAGAGTTCTCTGTTTAGGTCTGTACTCCATGTTTTTTTATTGGATTATTTGTTCTTTTGGTGACAATTTTTTGAGTTCTTTGTATATTTTGGAGATCAGACCTCTGTCTAATGTGGGGTTAGTGAAGATCTTTTCCCATTCTGTAGGCTGTCATTTTGTCTTGTTGACCATGTCCTTTGTTTTACAAAAGCTTTTCAATTTCAGGAGGTCCCATTTATTAATTGTTTTTCTCAGTGTCTGTACTGCTGGGGTTATATTTAGGAAGTGGTCTCCTGTGCTAATGCATTCAAGTATATTTCCCACTTTCTCTTCTTTAAGATTCAGTGTAGCTGGCTTTATGTTGAGCTCTTTGATCCATTTGGACTTGAGTCTTGTGCATGGTGATAGATATGGGTCTATTTTCATTCTTCTACATGTTGATATCCAGTTATGCCAGCACCACTTGTTAGATATGCTTTCTTTTTTCCATTTGATATTTTTTGCTTCTTTATCAAAGATCAGGTGTGGATTGATATCTACGTATTCTGTTCGGTTCCATTGTTCCTTTTGTCTGTTCTTATGCCAATACCAGGCTGTTTTCAGTACTGTAGCTCTGTAGTAGAATTTGAAGTCAGGGATTGTGATACCTCCAGAAGTTCTTTTATTGTACAGGATTGTTTTGGCTATCCTGGGTTTTTTGCTTTTCCATATGAAGTTGAGTACCATTCTTTCGAGGTCTGATGGGCATTGCGTTGAATCTGTAGATTGCTTTTGGTAAGATTGCTATTTTTACCATGTTAATTCTGCCTATCCAAGAGCATGGGAGATCTTTCTGCTTTCTGTTGTTTTCTTCAATTTCTTTCTTCAAAGATTTAAAGTTCTTGTCATACAAGTCTTCCACTTGTTTGGTTAGAGTTGCCCTGAGATATTTTATGCTACACAAATGTATTCTTAACAAGATCCAACAGCAACACTCATGTCAATTATAATCCTCTTTTCTGCAACTAGTTACATGGCCTTGGCTGACATCTATAGCTCCCCTCCCCTCCTACCCAGTCTATATTTCCTCCATCCTCAGCAAGTACTTCAGCAGGTCTTGGCTCTTTTCCTGGAGGAGTGACTTTACCTTCATTCCCAAATGGTCTGGATTAGGCTTTTGTAGTTTCTCACCGACTTTAATCACAGGGCATTGAAACACCAAGAGATGCCCTGAAGGCTCTCCTGCATTCAAGACATAATTCTTCTTACCTCCATTATGGAGAGGTAACCCAAGTCCATTATGGAGACGCAACCCAAGTTCTTCCTTAGTAATCTGGATCAATCATCCCTTCTAACTCTCTTATTACTTTCTTAGCCTGTTGGCTTAGAGGCATTAGAAGCCCAAAGTGACCAGGAGGAAGCGTGAACTTCTAGTTCCATAGAATGTTTGCTGTGTCTCCTGGCAGGAGCACTCCCCTCTTTAGAGAGGCCAGCAGAACTGAAGGTCATGGGAACAGGAAACAAGACAATTTCTTAGAGGGTCACTAGGGGTAAGAATGAGTGTAACTTTTCCCTTCCTCACCCTTGACTCCTGGACCCACGGATCCTAGTTATGGGAGAAACTGAACTATAATCAGATGTTGATTCAAAGCATATACCACCTTCTGGAAAGCCGTGGTCCTAACTTCCAGACTGCTGCCTCATAATAGGGCAACACCTGTATTTTCAAAAGGCTATTCCATCTGTCTGTCAGGGGAGCGGCTTCAGAATAGTAGGGAACATGGTAAGACCAGTGGATTCTATGACCATGGACCCCACCATCATGCTTCTCTGGCTGCCAAATGAATTTCTTGGTCAGAAGCAATACTGTGTGGAATATCATAATGGTCGAGAAGACATTCTGTGAGTCCATGTATGGTGGTTTTGGCAGAAGCATTTGTGCAGGACAGGCAAATTTATAGCTAGAATACATATCTACCCCTGTAACTGTCAGAACATGGTCCAAAGAATGACCCTTGATGAAGAGTGGGTTGGGGAACTGTGAGAGAGGCTCCAGGAAGATAGGCAGAGGGACTTTTACGTCTGGTGCATTTTGTCCCCTGGATTGTTCTTGGACGTGATTTTGAGCCTCCTGTGACATAAGTCTACATTCGATTACTAGGGCATGTTTATTCCTATTGCATGTCAGAACATAGCTATAGAACACAATCTGGTTAGTGTACCCCTAATCTGGACACCTTGCATTGGTGCTTTCCTAGATATAATCGACAGTACATGCTTAAACTGGTCTGTCCCGAGGGAGTTCTGGGAAAGGGCTGCTCTGTTAATATTTAGTGTGTGCTTACTGACCTTTATTTACATGTTTTCTGATCATGCTTTCTGAACTCAAACAACCTTCCTTGGATCATTGCTTTCTTTGGTACATTTGTGTATAAGCACACTGAAACTGAAGTCAGGCTGTCAACAGAATTAGACCATAGTCCACCCCATTCTTTCAGGTCTTAAGATCCCAGTTCCAGCAGACAACATCTGCCAGGACTGCAAAAGTCGGCAGAAAGGACGAAGTGTTGTCCTTTCCCTGGAGGAAGTGGTCCAATGTAGCAAACCTTCCACCAGGTCACTGGTTGGTCACCCTGGGAAATGAAATTGTGCTGTATCTAGGGCTCAGTATTGGTCTATGCTTTTGGAGACCTGGCATTTAGTAGCAGTTTTAGCCAGATTAGCTTTGGAAGTCCATATTGTTGAGTCCATGCATAACCCTATCTCTGCCACTGTAGACTTCCTCAAAATGGGTGATCCTATCTACTTGATGATCCTATCTGAAGATGTGTTGCTGTGATTGGTGTAATAGAAAGCTGAATGGCCAATAGCTAAGCAGGAGAGTATAGGCAGGACTTCTAACCAGAGAGGGAACTCTGGGAAGAAGAAAGGTGGAGCTGCCAGCCCGATATGGAGGAAGCAGACTGTGTAGTACAGAGATGAGTTAACAAGCCTCATGGAAGAGCATAGATTTACAAATATGGGTTAAGCTGGGCAGTGGTGACACACGTCTTTAAACCCAGCACTCTGGAGGCAGAGGCAGGTGGATCCCTGTGAGTTCAAAGACAGCCTGGTCTACAGAGTAAATTCCAGGACAGGCTCCAAAGCTACACAGAGAAGCTCTGTCCTGAAAAATCCATACAAAAACACATATGTATGGGTTAATTTAAGTTATAAGTACTAGTCAGGAATGAACCTAAGCTAAGGCCGAGGTTTCAAAAGTAATAATAAGTCTCTGCATTGATACTTATGAGCTGGCATCCCAAAGAAAATTCCAACTAGAAATGTCACCCAACATCCGGCATGTAAATCCTCATTGGCCCTGAAAAAGTGGACTCTGGGGTAGGCTCAGCATACAGAGCACAGCTCTTTTTAGAGGCCCTGCTGTGCAGCTGAGCACTTGAGCAGCCAGCACTGGGCACAAACTCGTGCTGTGGACAGACACAACAAATTCCCAGAGCTGGGGCGGTAAATGTGGCTCTGAGGAGATGAAGCTAGGCTGTCATGGAAACTGAAGGGAGAGGAGACAGCTACCAGTGTCATTCCTTGGCAGTAGAGTTTACTAGAGTTTCACATTGCTCTCCTGCAGTCAGAGACACTGCAAACACATGGCTGCAGATGCTTAAAATGTCAGATCCAGACACAGGGAACCTCAACAAAGGTACACTATGCTTTAAAAGGTGTTTAGGTTATGAAGAAAGAAGAGAAAATGGGTATGGACAGTCACAGAAAAAACAGATTAAAAATAAAAGAGTAAAAAAAATAAAAGATTAAGTCTTTAAAGAGAGAGTAAAAGTAATAGAAAAAATAAGTCACGTGGCAAGAACAAGCAGGCAAAGACAAAGCGCTTTGCCCACGTCATTTGTATAGACTGTCAACAGAAGACTTGGCCCTGATGAAAGGTGGATCTTCCCATCTTAAAAGATTTAGATTAAAGGTTTATCTTCCCACCTCAGATATCTGGATTAGAGGTGGGTCATCTCCCTTCAGATGAATAAGGAAAATCCTTCACAGATGTGCCCGGCCATTGGGTTTTAGTTAATTCCAGGTGTAGTCAAGTTGACAAACAATAATGACCACCACAGGCATGCACCCAACAGACTCTCTGTGCTACTCCAGCGGTGCTTGCTTGGCCATGTTCATTCTTGTTCTAGTCACGATAGCCAGGGAAAGAAAACAGCCTAGACGTCCATCAAATGAGGAGTGAATAGTGAAAATGTGTTACGTTCACACGATGGGAATCATTCAGAAAATGATTAAGAA